TGAAAGGCTGAAAAAACAGCCTATCTTCTTATACAGTAGTTCAAAAGCTAAAGCACAAGTGCTCCAAAGAGACTCCAGTGAAATACCATTTAAATTGAAGGAAATACATATTTCTTTTTTTTTTCATTTATTTGAGTTTCTGCTTTGCAGTGAATAAACCAAAACTGTATAATAATAAATATACCTGTCCTTTGTATTTTATACCATGGCCAGTGGCCACAAAGAAAATCTGCTTTTCTGATTGGCTGGAATGTGTCTGTTAATCATACATCATAGGTTTATCAATCTGGCAACAATACCTGTTAACAATTAACAGTTAACAGTCAATGTTTAACTAATACGTACACATACATTTAAAGGTATAGCCTTTTTGATCACTAGTGTGGTGCTATAGAGCAATGTTTCTATGAGTAGATCACCATTTCGTTTGTTCTCATGTACGTACAACAGTGTGTATAAGTAGGCAGGTGACGTGCTGAAAATTCCTGCTAAATGCAGATTTATAGTTGTACGTACAAGTGACCTGTGCCGTAGTGAGCATCTATGCTTGTCTGCTGGTGTGTCTGGGTTTTCTCTGCAAATAACATTGCCAAAACACTAGCTTGTGGTGGGGTTTCTATGCCATTGTGTTGAGTTTTTTGTCTTCCTCATTTCCCTCGCTGACCGTGAAACAAAAGGATGAGGGAATATGAGGGGACATACAAGAAGCATGTCATAGAGCGAGGCAGTGTCCCATGTGTGCTATTTGTCTGTGTGTGGACACACTTGTCTGACAATATGTGTATGGGATTCTCAAACAGCATTATTAACCCATCTGGCATGAGTCGCCTCCTATTGTCAGACAATGCACACACACCAAGCGGATCAATCACAGTTGTTGCGGTATGTTCGACACAGAAATACAGTATAAATCAGGCATTTTTGCTAATGTTTTCTGTCTGGGCTATAAAAAGATATACACAATGTCTTAGTGAATGTAAACAGAAACTCCCCTGGCCATCTATAACCAAATTATTTAGGTGGCTATGGTATGGAGATACAATCTGAGAAGGAAACGTAGTTGTAAGTTGTAGTGTTCTTTTACACTGCCATCTTGTACATTATATTGGTGTATTAGGATATTTAATTCACCAGGATTTTTAAAAGAATAAAAAATGCATAAAAAATTGTCTCTGGACAACCGTTTGTTGTCTCAGACCCTTATTTACATAGAACAACAGAGTGGGAGGATTGCTGTGTCTGCTGCCGCATCTCTTTGGCTATTTTGATTTAATTTAAGCAGAGAATCAAAGTAAATAGTTGCCTGTTTCCCTGAAATTATGTATATTTCCTGTGTTTGTCAGTGGTGTCTAGCAAAGTTTGTCTAATTACTCCTTCACACTCTGCTGACCAGTTAAATTCTAGCTGTACAGCTACACAATAACATACCTGCTGATACCTCTTGAAGTGTGGTCCCTGCTCACACTCTGAGCCTGATAAGTCTGATAAAACCTCAGGGACTAGTACTGCTTTCACAGGTGAACAGCTAGCCAAGAGAGCACAAAAGACAGCTTCTCAGGAAAGGTTGTGAGCTAACACAGAGCAGCCATTTATGGTCAAGACATTCAAGAGGCAATACCACTGAACGTAGAGGATCAGCCTTGAGTCCTTGTCCCTTCTAAATGTTAAAATACTGCTAAAGGTCACAGAATGGCAGAGGATCTTTGCAGTTTTCCTTGGAGAGAGAAAAAGGGAGACAGAAAAAGATTGGAAAATAGAGAAAGAGCAAAAACTAAAAAGGTTGGTAGAAACAGGATGAAAGATATATAATAGATAAAGAGGACTTTGACTTTTACCATGCTTTATTAATACATGTCCACCGGAGGAAAAGCCATTTTAACTAGACACTCTGCTACACACTGCACGGCTTGAATCTTTTGACTTTACCCACACAGAATATATTGGATCTAGTTATACCAATATAGATTAAAAAAGTAAAGGGGGGCAAAGAGGGAGAGATACGATGAGAAAGCACATAAAGAAGACGGTAAAGAAAGTAGAGAGGTAAGGAAACAAGCTGATGGGACGTAAAAGATAAAAGATGGAGGAGTAAGAGAGAGCGAGAGAGAGAGAAAGTAGGGCACAGGCGGGAGGAAACGGCACGCTGGTGTTCTTTAAAGTTGAGCCATCACAACCACTAAATCCCCAGCGCTGGCTGCCAGGACTCATCCTGCCTCGTCCCCTGGTACCATCGCACCTTTCAGAGCTTCGCTCCACACCTCCATATCCATCTGTCTCTCCCCTCTCTGGTCCCTCTCTGCTGTCTTTCACGGAGTTGTCTCCTCTTCAGGACCCAGCCTCTCAGGGAAGCCTTGTATTCATTTATTAATTTCCTAACCCAGTGTCGCCAAGACGTCCTCTAGAGGCTGCAGTTATGACTGGCGGAGGGGGGCCTGTCTACACTTCCCTGCACCACCGTCCCGCTTTTCTCTTGTTCTTTCCTAGAAGTAGCCAGGCTGTCTCCCTTGTTTTCAGTGGTTCATATTTTTGTGGGTCATCTTTTATTCCAAGTCTCCATGTCCGAACACTTTGTCTCTGTCGGATCTCTGGCTCCAAACCAATGAAAAAATAATTCTCTATTTTTCTATTTTGTAGAGTGTGTTTCCATGCTTCCTTGCACTGGTTTCAAGTCAAGAGAATGGAAAATATGAATCAACAACAGGAATGTCATTCAGAAATAAGAAGCTGTATTAATTTGCAGTTAATGCATCATATTACCATTTCACTGCAGAACGTGATTAATTTTTTTACCATTTGGAGGGCACGGAAAGAACAACACACTGACATATTTTCACCTTTTTGATATGGTGATATGGTGTTTTGCTTATTTACACATCCATCCTCAGATACAGAGGAACATTACCATTCATTTCGAGCCATGTTTCTGGCCATAAGATGTATATATATATATATATGAATAATATAAAATCTTATATTCTCCACTAATTTCTAAGAAAAATGTTGTTCACCAGATAGTTGCTGTCTGTCTGGTAAGTAGAATACAGTGGGTTTTTTTTTACTGAAAGCAGCTACTTGCTGCAGTCAGAAAAGACACTGTGACGATGTTTGGTAGTGTGCTTGGTAGCAAAACAAAAATAATGAGCTAAAAGATGCTATAAATCATCGTCACATCGTGACTTGAAACTCATGCTTAGCCAGGATGACAAAGCATTCCGTGTTGCACTCACAGCAGTACGTTACACGGTAGACATCCTCTGTATCATAAGACAACAAAATGTGGTTTGAAGCTGTTGCAACATCCTTTTACAACATCAGAGGGATCACTGAGGTATTGAAAAAATTTAAAAATGCAGCACTAGGCAGACTCGTAAAGAACAACAAATCATTTTGTTCCAGAGGTTGTGAGATGGAGGTTGATAGAAACATGCATTTATGTTTATCACATAGTAAAGGGACATTGAAGCAGTAAAAGACATCCTGGACATAAGATTGTACATATGAGACACTCCCAGCTATACCTCTTTGATAACAACTCCTGGGGGGGAGGCAGAATAAAATATTGGAATTCGATATCCTGCACTCATCTGCTACCTTAATAGTTATATGAAAATATATCAGTATATCTATACACACATCTGACCATTGTTAATCACATGTGTTTGTATAACGAGGGCCAACGAAGTCTGTGAAAAGATCTGTCGCTTGTAACTACACATTTGAAAATAGATATTTTCATATGTTTGCCATGTTCAAATCTTATCTGGTATATTTACCTTTAGGAAATACGTGTCATTACCACATAAATGACAGAAAGCCTTGAAGGTATGAAACTGTTCAGGATGGAAGAATGAGGTCTGGAGCAATAGTTCCTAAACCTCAGTTTGTAACATTTAGAAGGATCTATTGTCAGAATTGAAATATGATATTTATAGTTTCCATTAGTGCATAATCACGTGAATATTGGAATAGTTTACTTTTTTTACCTTAGAATTAGCTATTTTAGTCTACAGACACTGCCGGTTGACTTTCATGGAACTGAAGCAGAAAAGCCATATTTCTACAGTAGCCCAGAACAGACAAGCCAAACACTGGCTGTAGATAGGGCCTTGCGTGAGTTTCGTGGCCACCATATTTCCTAAATACAGTTGCAATCAACAATACAATTTCACAACACCTCTTGTTGTTTTCTTCTTTTTGTCTTCCATGCCCCTCCGCTGTCCCACTTAAATTTTGGTGGCACCAAACCACATTTTTGGAATAAAAAGTATGACAGTACCGCCCTGCTCGAACAGAGAACAATTACGCTGTTCATTTGGCGAAATCATCTCAACTTTACAGCTTTTAAAATTAATTGCAGTGATTCATTCATTTGCTTTTCTGGACAGCTGACCTTCAGTGCGGGTTAAAGACACATGCTCTTTGTCGTCATACTGCTCAAAATTTGTGCAGTCTGTTTATAATATGTTGATTTCACACGCAGTGAGGCTCGTTGGACTTACTGAAAGAATCCAGTGAAAATGTGTCCTTTATGCACTTTTAGCCATGGAGTCAGTTAGCTCAGTGTTTTTTCATTAGTGTTCTGTCATGTACTGATTCATAATTTTTTCATTCTAGCTCTCGGCTCTTCAAATAAAGCTCAGATTATCACTGAAGATAAATTTAAAATTTAAAATATTTACATGAGCAAATATTGTGCTTAAACCACACAACTAACAAATATATGCTTGCATCCTGCAGATAGGTTTGCTGAAAATGTGTACTTCATTTGAATTTATAGTTCGTTATTATTCTTATTCCAAACCCGCGTTGTAAGAGAGATGTTTGTAACACTTACTACATGTTTGCACCATTACTAGAACAGACGTTTAGATGACAACATCTCCTCTGAGTCAACAGGGAAGTGAGAAATAAACTGCCGCAGTCAGCCAGTCACTACTTGAGAGCACATACAAAGTTACTGCATGACACCTAAGTACTTAACGAGTACTTTGAATGCTTACTGAAAGCTGCCACAGCCAGTATGAGTGTGACCACGATGGAGATCCAGGAGACCCAGAGTGCCTTCTTTCTGTAGCTCTGGGCTTCATGGGGCTTCAAGCGCATGCTGCTCTCGAGAAGACCTGCAATGAGACACAGAAACTCTGTTACAAGAACAATTCCTTCTTTCATTTTATTTCTGTTTTGTAAAGTTTTTCTAATGTCACAGTTTATCGTGTGATCACACCAGGCAGCCAGAGGTTAAGTAAGCTTGTATATATTTGTTGTATAATCAGTACTCCGTCAGTGAAAAAATAAAGTTAAAATTAGGAGTCCTACAGAGGTGAGAATTATGTTGCCCATGCTAAAGGTTGTTTGAATTCACTTCAGTAATTAAGTTCAGGATTTGGATCCCTTTCACAACAGCTGTGTTGTTTGGCTCGTGACTATAATAAGCGCTCAATATGCAAGACCAGTCAATGAGGTTAGTTACTGTAATATAGTCATTCAGAACAACATACAATAAACAACAATATAATAACATAATTGTGTCCTGAAATTATGAAAGGAACCAGTGATTTGTCCCAGTCCTTCAGCCTATGTAACATTGTATGAAAAGTCTCTCAATTTCCTGCAATCCAAAGGAAGGTCAGAGGTCGGAAACTGCTAGATAAATGCTCAAGGAACTGACTGTTCAGAGAAAGGTTGTGTTGTTGTTAGAGTCAATCACCTGCACGAGGCCCTAATGGGCCTATCAATGAGAACGTATTACTACTTCGAACATTACTGGAGCAGTTTTCTCCACCCTCCATGCATCTTCCACACCTACCTAAAGAGCACCGGACCAGCGGGTATTTAAAGGCACAACGTTACACTGCAGATTACAGGTCATGGGTGAAGCTTAGCTCTGTGATAGCTTGTAAAATTGAACTTAAACAGAACTTCTCTCACAGCTAAGAGTAAGGGTAGTCCCTCAAACTTATACAAAGCAATTAAGAAATAACCTACTCTAAAAATAAAATTACCAATGAAACCAATTGAAGTATATCAAGATCACAAAACAAGTCAATCTGCATTTGGTAACCAACCATAATAGCTTTTTAAGGCACAGTTACCTTCTAAAAAACGACACAGAGATGGTGTTAAAGCAGAAGACTCGATATAACAGTCCCTATACATTTCCTAATGGCTTACAGTCTTGTTTCTCTGTGTGAGAAGTCTTTGCCTGAAGTCACAGACAAAACAGCCCAGATTCTGAACTGCCTGAGGCTGTTCCATTGTCATGAAGCGTGAGGCTGGCTCTGCAGTCTCATGCAATATTCATGTGGCTGAACCTTTACTTCCAAAAGAGCTTTTAATGATATCAGTTGTCATTCTATCCAGAAATTTGTACCAGGGACCTTATAGTCAGTCGCCTGTGACACAAAAGGTGTTTTCTTTTCAGACTGCAAGTTTGAACCCCAAAACAGACAGGTAACGGGAAATACAGACAGATTCTCTAACTGGCATATAACAAAGCTTCAACACTGATAACACTGTCATTGCAGTGGGAGAGTGGTGCTCAAGTCACGCATTGGCACGCAAGATTGTGCATAAAAAACTTAAAAATGAAAAGAACTCTGCCTCTTCCATGCCTCTTCCTTTAAAAAAAAAAATCAACTGAATTTCTTTGAATACTCCAGAAACCTTCACTTTCTTTCTCCTTCATGTTGTAAATATTTAATTGTAAATATTTGTGAGGGTGCCATCACTTGATCTACAGGAAACCTTAAATCACTCACAGTAGATCTGCCCAAACTCAAACAAATCCGCCCATTACTCTTGAACCTTGAATTTTGTAATCCTGACCAGCATTAGCACCAGATTCAAAATCAAGTTTACTTTGCGATTAATCACCTGACACTGAACAACTAGACCTACAAAACATTTTAGAAAACAATAAGATGTGAAATAGAGGCTCAAAACTGTCACTGTTAATAGCAACACGACTGTGTGACAGTGCCAAATCAAACCATTTTATGAGGTAAGGAGAACTACATTGTTGTAGTATTGCGCTTCCATAAATCTGAGGGATCCACAAAAGACAGAGTTTCCCATAATGCAACTAATAGCATTTTTTTTGGTAGGCCCTTGCCCACATCTTTCAAACTCAACACATCCAGTTTGTTAAGCAGGCTTTCTGTCCATGACCAAACTTAGATGAGCTAAGAGAATTGAAATCTAAAACTCTATTTTATTAGACCATAAAACTTCCCTAGAGCCATGAGAGCGGTACTCCTCGTGAGTTTGCATGTAAAATCAGTGGAGTTCCCCTCAGTTTCAATGAGATGCTTGTCTTTTCTTATTATCCTTAACCTTCGTTTATTTTGTACCATCAAAAATGCAGTCTTGTATCCCAATAGTCCTTTTAACAATAGTATAAGTCTGTCACTTGTATTTGATTAATTTTGTGTTTATCTTTGTATTTCTCCCCTTTTTTTCTTATAATCTAGTTCACCCTGAATGCAGTCCTTGTTGTTGTTAACGCCCACTGTCTAGTGTGGGTGTAGACAGAAGGAGACAGAGCAGACAGAGCATCCAGAGGGAGTTGGTACTGCTACAAGGATATGATCCCTCACCAGCTTCCCACCAGTTAAAAACTGCCAATTGTTTTTGATGGACAGCGTGACCCAAGCACTGCACTACTTCATCTGACTTTAGCTCTGTTTAGGCAACCTGTAAGTATAAAGCATCATCATAAGCAGCTTATGCATCTGGAAACATATACTTTTTGATATAGCTTCTTTATGTCAGTATAGGAGGCAAAGACAGACAATTTAAATGTAATTAGTTTAGAAATCTGAAATACGTTAAACCTCTTGGAGCGTTACTAAGAAAGTTCAACTTGACATCTTAGTATGGTGTATATTTAGTAGTTATGCATCCATAATGTATTACTTTCATATTGAATTAATTAAAACATGTACATTTTGTTGACATGAAGGGGAAAACATCAGACACAGACCATTTTTATCACTGCGATGCATGTTTACAGCACAGACCCATTCAACCCTTGACATTTGCCATCCAGCTGATGTGAAATCACTTAATCTGTCTTTAATTGATTTCTTTTAAGATAGAAAGTCAAAGAAAATCACATGGCTTGTGCTTAAAGGGAGAATTATCTGAGGGGTCTCCATTTCTTTATATAATAAATAGCTTTGGAAAAATGTGCATGTGTGTATTGTCCATGTAGGAACATTTAGAGCTACAATTAAGCTCTTCCTATCCTAGGCTTCCATATTCACTGTGGTCATTCAATATTTAAATGTTTACATAAAAAGCAGTATAACTTACAGTATGTAGTTTGACATTTGTACTGATTACAAAAAACATGTCTTATAACCTCTGACTGGACAAGCTCTGATGATTTTCTATGGATATTAGCATAGTTTACAGTTTGAAAACTGAAGCTCAGGGTTGTATAACTTTACAACAAACACGAGATAGATAAAAAATAGTGATTGCACTATTCAAGATTACCGTTTTATGAATAGCTGCAGATACAGAAACTTATTTTATAAAATTACAAATACAGCGGCCAATAAAAGATAATTCAGAACTAACAAAAAAACTATGATGTCCAAGTTCTATACTTAGAGGAAAAAACTGAAAGGACATAGATGTTGTTAACCAGCCTTGTGTGTGTGTGTGTGTGTATGTCTGTGTGTGTTAGTGAGTGAGTGTGTGTGAGGCAGAGGGGGAAGTGAGACAGCATGCTTAAATCACTTCGCTCACATGATCCCAGGCCGGGGGGATCAGACAGAAGGCATGTGCTCGACATCTCCTCATACATCCTTCTGTGACACAAGCACAGGTTTGTGTTTGGTTTTGTGTGGGAGAGAGCTTGGAGTGTCTCTCTCTCTCTCTCCTCTCGACACTTGTCTCTTGTCACACCTTTCTTTTCTAAAAATAATTAACATCAGCAGCCTTTTGAGCAATAGCCTTGTAGCTCAAAAGGCTGATTGCATGCGCACACACACACACACACACACACATACACAAAGTGCTAGGAAACACATGACTGAATACTAAACTCATGGGAGGAGTTTGACCTGAAAGAAATAAATTAATTACTTTTTTAAATAATCTGAAAGCCTGTCCCTACCTGTCTTATTGTAATGCTATATGACATAACTATAAACTGATTCATATATCAGCATCATAGATCAGATAGATAGATAGATAGATAGATAGATAGATAGATAGATAGATAGATAGATAGATAGATAGATAGATACCACTAGCATGGATAAGCAAGATCAGACTGCAGAGGTTTTCTGGGAGAGAGATGAGGAAAGCGGAGGAGGGAGTTAGACGGGGAGAGTGTGAATGTGAGAAATATATTGTGCGGAAATGTGAGTGCATGATGTGTTTGTTTGAAGATTGCTTTCGCTAAACATCTACTGAAATCGCTTGACTTCTAAAGTAAAATTTCCTCCTCAGTGCCTGCTCATGTAGCCTTTAATATCTCTGAAGGTAATGACCTTTATTTATACAAGTTAAATAATACAAGAGATTACATACATTTAAAGTGGGGCACCCCAGCAGTTTTAACCATAAAACCAGTTGTACTCAGCCTGTTAAAACCATTGTATAATGACATTACTATGGTTCTCGAGGAGCTTTGTCAAGAAAAAGTAGCCCTGGTGATGTCATAGTGATGTCATCAGCTCGACCCATGCAAGGGACTAAAAGTCAAGATATCTTGGCCTCTGCTGCCTGAAGTCTCTCACAAGTTCCCAGACTTTATGGAAGTGTAACTACTCCCACTTTAAGGGTTCAATCTTCTTCCTAGGAGTTTAAATCTGCCAACTGACCAGTGTCTTCAATCTCTAATAAACAACAAATTGTAGGAAAAAGACAAAAACTGTGAAATGCATCTTTCTTCTATCGTCCTTCATTCTAACCTTTTCTTTATCTTTGCTTAGGTAGATAGAAGATGGATCCTGTATGGTGATTCCAGCTCTCACAAATAAGCCAAATCCAATCAACATAGCTGACACAGCATAACCATTTCAGATTTTATTACTCAAGACAGTTATATTAGAAACATAAGGCTGGTTAAAGCTACACGGTTTAATTAAAATGTCAGTTATCCCTTGACAACAGATCCAGTAAACGTACATGACATTAAATAAATCAGCTAAATGAATATATAAGCAAAGGAACAGGCTTAGGGTTTGTTGTATAACTGAGGCCCTCTTATTATCCACAGTGGAATGTGTTGTTTCACAGGTTTTATGTATATGAGATGATGTATGGGACTATATTAGTAGAAATATCACACACAGACACGTGTGCTTAAGCAAATGCGAAAGCACACTTAAGGGTTTTCATGCATGTGACTGGTACCAGAATGTAGCTTGACTGAGCCTGAGCTGTGCCTCTGTGCATGTTTTAAAGAACAACTGAATTCCCACAGCCAACTTTGTCCCCAGAGGCAACGTAATATAAAGAACTGAAATAAATGTGTGAATGAATGGATGGCTTTGGGGACTAGAATGAGTTTAACAGTGTTCTAAGATCTGAATTCCACTTTTGCTTCACTCTAATCTGAATCCTGCTGATGTAGGACTATCATAAATTATTCAAATAATAGCGGACTAAAAATACCTCAAATGGTAAAAATACCCCTCCCATCTCCCCAGGGCCCCCTTAATACACACGCGCGCGCGCGCACGCACGCACATCCATAACTTTTAAAAACCAGCTACAAACATGATAGATAGATGAAGTTACCTTCTCCCTCCACACTGTCTGTGATTTTCATCTCCTGGCCCGTGGTGAACGACTCAGGTTGGCCGGGGGCTTTGGCTTGCTGGTGATGGTTGTTGGTGAAGCCATCCGGGGCGCACTGGCCGTTCCGCACCGTGGCCGGGCAGGGATCCACAATAGTCGGGTCTGGGACAGGGTAGGACTCATGGGTCGACGGGTCTGTCATTGTTGCAGTTTTTTGTTGCCAGGCTCAAAGGCAGAGAAAGATGATTGATGATGGTGGGGAGAAAAAAAAAAGATTCACGCCGGTTCGCTAAGTGCAGCAGCCATCCAGCGCGTCCAGTATGCCACCAGTGTCGACTCAGTTGCGCAGGGGGGGGGGGGGAGGAGGTGGGATGGGGGGGGGGGGAGAGAAGAGATGGCGATAAGAGAAGATGGGAGATAAAGGATTTATCTCCCCAGCATCAGCAGCGAACCAACTCCCTCTGAGTGAAGTGAACACTGCGAGGAGCAGCTCTGCAGCCTCAGTGTAGACCTTGTCCGACGGAGCCAGTTAGAGACAGTTTAGGGTTAGATGCGGCGATGCGATAAATTGCTGAGATCTGCTGTGAATCTGACAGGCGGTGCCAGCATGTTTTCCTCCTCCTCCCCTTCCTCCTTCTCTCCTCCTCTCAGAACTCAGCACCTTATTCCCATACAGGCCACTACATGAAATAATCAGTGGCATCTATCCGGACGCACTTTTCCTACAAATTAGTTTTGATTTATGAAACGAAACTTTAATGGGTCTTAGAGAGCTTTTTTTATAACAAGCATCATTTAATGCAAATAATATTATTAATAAATCGTATATTGTTATTATGACGCCAAATTGCTACTTTTACCAATCTAGTGCTTATTTATGTAATTAGAGGTAATATTTGGTTTAGTTTACATATTTCTTGATGCTGAATTTCCAATTAAAACCTATAATCGCCCTATTAGTTCATGTTTATTAAATTATCCACACCTTAGCCTTGTTAGTGAAACAACCTGCCAAACAATCTGTCGGTGTTCTCTATGCTGCAACAATCAACCACCAGGTGGCGCCGAAACGCAGGTCACCTGTGAGCAGGTGAGGATATGGAATAAAGAAAAAAAAGAAACATTTCTGTGAGATAACAGTCACCCTGACTCGTATTTGCTCTACATTCTGGTAAGTGGTCCGTGTTTATGATCTGTGCAGCAGATATATAGATGTAGTCAAACTGCTGCAAGCAAAAGCCAGGCGTAATGTAAGTGTGGCAACATCCAAACCTGCACTTATCATAAACAGACATAGAAGCACAAAACTCTGACTCAGCATAATGCAGGCAGCCGGCTGCACACACAAACTGCTTTGAACTATTGTGTGTGTGAGTGTGTGAGTGGGTTGGGGTGTAAATAATGTAGTTTTAGGCTATAATATCACTTCATGGTTCAGAATATCAGCTGTCAATGAGGTTCAATGTCATACAGAGACAAATGATTACTTTCTGTTTGTTTTATAGGCTAGGTAATAAATTACCAGGGTGTCCCGACAGCCATTCACCTGTGGGTCATTGGTTTCTGTCTGAGGGCGGAGTATGAATTAGCTGGGTTTGCCTTTAGTTACAGCAAGGAATCTCTGGCAGCAGACCTCCACATTTTCCCAGGGGTAATCACAAGGATGAAGGTTGATATTCACAATCATATTTTACCAAAGGAGTGGCCCGATTTGAAGCAGGTAGGCACTGAGAAACGCAAGCTCATTAAGGATCTGAGAACTTCTTATAAGCGTGAGTAAATCCACACAATCTAAAGGCTGGATCTCATTTTGTGTGGTAGGTTGAGTCAGTTTTAAAAAAAAACACATCTTTGTTTGTAATAATTCTATAGCAGGCAGAGCTTCTCCTTGAATTCAATGCTATTTAATGCCAGTAAAATAAAATTGTACAGAATCTTCCCATTGGAGTGTCAGTAGGGAGTTTAACAGCTCACTCCATAAATCTGTGTTCTCTATGGATGGTTAAACTTTAATCAATAGGTGGCTCTGGCCTTGCTCCTTCCTGTCCTATCTGTTCCTACTCTTATGTCTATGTCACTGTGGAGGCCTGGCCTTAGCTAATGATTTCCCATGTTTAGTGCTGGATAGGAGAGACTGTTTCCCTCACCCTACCACAAGCTTTTCATGCATCCCTTTTTCCCATATAAATAAGGAAATGTATACAGTAATATAATAACACAGGCATGTTTTGTAAATAAAATTGTATTATGAGTTGCTTTTCTGCTACTTGAGGCATCAGACTTAAAATTAAAAAATATTTTTCATAAATGTTAACACCAATCATTTGAGCTTTTGAAAAACCACTGCATTTTCAGCTGAGAAGTAATGAATCATCTTCTGTAGTGGACCTCTAAAAATTATAGTCATTTTTATGAGTTCTCATAAAATTTGGAAAAGTCATTAAGTATCAAGGTGAACACAATATCAAGTATGTTTTTTGAGCCTGAGCTCTCAGGAACCCAAACAGAACTGTTGAACTGCTACAAATAAATTAAATTTGAAGCAGGCTTTCATTGAAACAGCTACTTGAAGAAATAAATTCACAATTTTAAAAGAACAGTGTAAAACCCATTTTGCACTGAAAAGCTAAGGCTTCTCTGTGGCATCAACAAAGTACACAGTACTGCAGCTATGCAAGGATATGAAATGGGGCTTGGCTGTATTGCTCATGTAGATCATTTGCAGCTTCATCTGTATGCAAAAGAGTCAACAGCCTCAGATGGCATTTACTTTGAGTTATCCAGGGCATTGGAGTGGATAGTCCTCCAGGATGAAGATTGACCCCTCGCAGATGGGATAACACAATCAATAGAGGCTTTTCTACAGTAGTTCACGTGGGGGATACCGAACTATGCCCACGTTCATATAGATTTTACATCTGAACACACCAGATATGTAATCTAATGCATAGTATGTTTTATAGTATATGAAATTTGAATAAATTATGAAGCATAATCACTTTTTGCATGTGTTACAGAGGTATGGATATGATGGGTTTGTCCAGCTTCACCATCACTGCAAGGTGAGTCCCACTTTTTTGTATGCATGTAGAGTACAAGCACTTATGCAATTGTACTGCAAACTATGCTGGGGACACAGTAGGTTCCTCCTGGCTGCACCTCACTCGTTGGACCTGTCAGCCTGGTCCTCTCCGTATGAGCAGCTGCAGAACTCAGCACGGTGCCTCTGCATCAGCGGAGAGATTCACTTCAACACAGCAGAACACAGAGCAGCATGGCAGCTGTGTAGCCACTGCAACTTTTAGTGGGAGACACTGGTTGAGTTTTTGGCATCAGCAAACTGCAGATAAGGGCGAATAGTTGATGCATTCAATCATCAGACTTCAAGTCACACAGGTGTAGTAGCATCCAAGATTAGAGATTTTTTAATTAGAACCTTTAACAGGAAAGAAAAAAAACACTGTCCAGATGTTATTTTTATATCTGCATTTCAAGAACCTTTTCAAAGACAGTCTGTGATGAAATTTTATTTCTAGATGTGAATAAAAGTTTACATCTTGCATGTTTTCCATGAAACAGCATGTTTCATAGTGAGCTATTTGCTGCCATCATGTGGATGTATTTTGAAGTGCTATGAAAGCCAAATGTCACATGATCTCATGAGCTTGAAATTGTAAATTACATGAGAGAAATGACCAAGAACAAGAACATTAAATCTGCCAAGGTGTCTGACTCTATAACAGAGAGGCAAGAGACATTTTAATTGCAGTCAAATTAATTAGGGATGTTACTAGTGTAAATGTTGCGTTTCAGGGTGAAGCAGAGATGATGAAAGATGGGAAGCTGTTCCGAGTGATTCAAGAAAACTGCTGGGATGCAAATGCACGCATAAGAGACATGGATCAACATGGTATATGCACATACACAAAAAACAACAACAAGTGTTAAAGTGTCCTTATTGATGCCTAGATTGATGTTTCTGTTTATAACCTTCAGGTGTCACAGTTCAAGCCCTTTCCACAGTTCCTGTAATGTTCAGTTACTGGGTAAGGTTTGAGCAGCTTGGATAAAAAAAACAATGCAGCCACTATGTTTTATTGCTGTGTGCTTAAGACTTGAAACATCCATTTGTTTACTGTGCCTGAAAATATTGCGAGCTGCACCTACCTAAAAAAAAAGAGCAAATAAAATTTTAGACTTTTTGTGCAAAGCCACAGTGGCTTATGTACTCTGCAAAGCTTCTTAGGTGAACTATTGGTTCTCCTGCAGTCACAGAAGCACCGGCACTACGATGAATATATGATTCAAATTGTATTCCAGCTTTCACAGATGCAGTATATTTACCTATTTTAATCCCACTTTTGGGTTACAGGCCAAACCTTATGACACGCTGGATCTCTGTGTCCTCTTAAATGACAATCTGGCCCAGACAGTGCATAGTCACCCCAAGAGGTTTGTGGGCTTGGGCACTCTGCCCATGCAAGCCCCTGACTTGGCTGTGGTGGAGATGAGGCGCTGTGTGAAGGAGCTAGGCTTTCCTGGGGTGCAGATTGGCTCACATATCAACAACTGGGACCTCAATGCCTCTGAACTCCATCCTTTCTATGCTGTGAGACATTGAATGTTGCACTAATATCCTTCCTGGTAATAGCAAATGTACCTATGTTTACACTTTACTGGTTTGACTAATTTCATTCTAAATTGCAAGATATTCCTTTGTATTCAGAGGTCAACTTCTGATTCATGGAGTACTGATCTGGCTGTTCCTCTTCCTTGCAGGCAGCTGAGGAGCTGGGCTGCTCCATATTTGTCCACCCATGGGACATGCAGACAGATGGGAGGATGGCTAAGTATTGGCTGCCCTGGCTGGTGGGTGAGCGAGATGGAGTAGAAACAGGAGATATTGAATATCCCCCCAGTCTAGTCAATAAAAAAAAATAAAAAACACTTTTTTCTCTTGAAAATACAACCACTTTGTGACTGAAATTGATCCATGTTTAATCATCTGTCCATAACAAAGCAAGACCATACCCACTACTTCCTAAATGACTGATTAAGCCATCAAAACTAAATCATTGTATTTTCCCATTTGTTAAAAATGGTGTTGATTTTCTTCGAGTATTGTAGCTTTCACTTCATATTCCATGCATTGTGGCCAACAGAGCCAAATAATGCTCAACTACAACATTAAGTTTTGTTATCCTTTCCATCTCGCAGGCATGCCGTCAGAGACAACCATGGCTATTTGCTCGATGATATTCGGAGGTGTCTTCGAGAGATTTCCTAAATTGAAAGTCTGCTTTGCACATGGAGGTATAGTATGTTTCAGTGTAATAATGAAAAAAACTAAGGTGTCAACTTATATAAAAGTATTCTTACTTCATGTTCAATTAAAGATGCTATGAGCTGCTGTATGGTTCTTGTTTGTTCATCTGGCTACAGGTGGCTCTTTTCCATTCACCGTTGGCAGAATTGAACATGGCCACAAAGTCCGCCCTGACCTGTGTGCCGTAGATAACAACATCAGTCCACGGAAATACCTCGGCTCTTTCTACACTGACTCCCTAGTTCACGATCCCACCTCCCTGAAACTGCTCGTTGATGTTATTGGAAAGGTGAGCTTGCATTCATCATTCATTGAGAGTGCACGCACACACACACACACACACCCTGCCACAGAGAGCTCATACACACTTAGGGAGTATTGTGAGTGGAGGGTGTGTGTGTGGGTAGTTTGAACATATCAGTAGTTATTTCTGTAAAAACCATTTTACCTTGGATACAAAAACTGTGTACCCGGGCTCATTAAAGTAGCACAGAGCTCTTCCGATGTGTGGAAGCTCTCGGATGCTTCAGAATAATTCAACTGATAATCAATTATATTATTGAGATATTGCAAATGTGTATATTTGAACATGTCCACTACATGTTCAACACTACGAAAGTGAGCATGCATGTAATCTTCTTTCAGGATAAAGTGATGTTGGGAACAGATTATCCATTCCCGCTGGGTGAGCTGCAGCCTGGGTCACTGATTGAGTCAATGGATGAATTTGATCGAACACTAAAGGTAACAATATTGTTACACTATATGTTTAGTCTTTGGTAGCATGTCAGAAACCTCAACATTTTGACATAAAGAAATGTGATTCATTCTGCTAGCTTTCAGACTTTAAATTTATAAATTAATAAATGAGTTTTCAAATCTTAATGTACTGTATGTCTAATCCAGTATTCAAAATGACGTTTACTTTTGTTTTGCAGGATAAATTGCTTGCAGGAAATGCACTGGATTTTTTGGGCCTGAAACGAGAGCAATTTGAGTAACAGCAAAATCTGAGACACAACTGCAACACTCATTGAGTCAGCGCAAAGGAATTATGCAAACATTCATGTTAATGGATGATTAAAATTTGGATTAGTTTGTATTAATATTATACAGTCTATGGATTTAATAAAGTAATTAAGTATTTTATTCTCAGTAGTTTGTGAATTGTCTAATTTGTGTAAACTTGATATAAAACAGAAGTTGCTATTGATAATGTTCAAGAATGGCACGTGTGCTTTTATATTGCAATGATATATACTCTACAGTAAGATGCTATTTATTAACAGAGTTTCTAGTTTGATGAGAACGTATTAATTTACACTGACAGTCAAAGTATAAGAAAAAAAAGAGGACTTTTTTCACTCAGTGTTTTTAGAGAAACGTTTGCAGTCAGTCCCACTATTACAAAGGATACATATGCAGGGCTGCTCCAGTTGTCTTTCTAAATATAGCCCCCAACAGCTCTTTCCTGTTAATGTGATCCCTCAACAATGAAGAGACTCAAATTGCTTAAAAGCTTCACTAATATGTGCTCTACTTCAAAGAACGAGTTATGCAAGGAACCCTATGCTCATTGGTCATAGAGAGAAGGCATTTTCTTTTCTAGTGAAGATGAATGGAACACTACAAAAATAAAGCATAGGCCTTTAGTCAATGATTTTGTGCAGAAAAGATTCAACTGACTCAATACCTCTTTAATACCATTTAAATTCAATTTATTTGCCCACTTCCCAAATATACACAGGAAAAAAATATCTAAACCGAAACAATATTCTGGGAAGTTCCCTCATGTCTTATTGCTTGTTAATGGGCTATGCCCTCTTTTAAATGGAAATAAGATAAGATAAACCTTTATTACTGTAATCTCTGGAGGGAAATTCAGGTGTCAGCAAAAGAGAATGAAACATGGCATGTCAATAAATATAACGCACAGTCTATTAAATAACCTAAACTAAACGCAGCGTCTT